GTTTTTGATTCACTAGTTTTGTCCAAGAGAGGAATAAAAAAATGAGAGTTATTTGAGGGTTTTCATTTATTACTTTCATACATCTTTGAGAGTTAAACACTTAAGAGAGAAAGAAAGCTAGAAAGTAAGATAGAAAATGAATTTCTCAAGGAAAGGAACCAAAATTGTCAAGAGGAAACAAGTTTGGCTAAGAGAAAGAGAGTTCGGTTGAAAGAAGAGAGAATTATCGAGAGGAAGAGAAGAGAGTTTTGGTCGAAAGTGTGAACAAGGAATCGATAGAGGATTTTAAAGGATTTTAAGGTGATTTCTACTTCGATCAAATGCAAGGTAAGCATAACTTCAATTCACCATAAGACTTTGGGTTTGTATATGTTGATTTGGTGATTTGGGTGTTATGTGTTCATGTGAAACATAGGGTTTTTACGTGTGCAATTGATTAAATTGTATTCAATTGACATTTCAGTTATGAAATTGATAAATGATTGGTTATTTATCATGTTGTGGTATGTGTTTAATTGTTGATTGAATGTGTTAATGATGTGCTCATGTAAACCTCGAGGTTCTAGGTATGTATTAAATTAACAATTTATGTTCGATAATAATTGGTAAGTATTTAATTATTGATTAATCATTGTATTGATATTGAGTAAGTGATTCAACTATGCTTGTTAATTTAGTAATTGTGTTATTAGTTGATGAATGTTGTTGTTACTTGATTTTGATGATTGGAATGCTTGCGAGGAAACATGATGAATTCGACTATGTTTGATTAAATATTGATTGAATAATTGAGATAATGAATTCAGCTTGATGAATGCTTATTGTACTTGTTAATGGGAATGGTTTCAAATTAAGAGTCTATGGATTCACTTGTTATTGTGTTGTGATGATTTGATAAAGGTGAGGCATATTTTGATGATGGATTTGGATTTGATGTTGTTGTTACTTAAGTTTCTTTCTTGATGATTTATCATTTGAGTGTATGAGTATACTTTTAGGATATAGTTGAAGATGGATTGATTGTAAGAAAGTTTGATGGTTTTGATTTTAGCGCATACTTGTTGTACTTGTTATTGGAAATTATGCTTGAGTGTGAGAATGCTTGATGGATTCGGCTTAAATATGGATTGAGTGATTATGTATTGCTAGGTGGATTTTGCTTGTTTGATGAATTTGGTTTACTTATGGTTGCTTGGTTTGGTTTATTGAATAATTGAATGGTTATGTGTTCAAAGATAAATTAAACACTTGGAGTGTTAATTGGTGAATTCAATTATGTTATTGCTTGGTGATACCTCCATTAAATGATTGAATACATTGGGTTAATGGATTATTTTGAGTTAGGTAACTACTTGAGGTTACTTGATCTTGTTTTTAGGTGTTTATTGGATAATTGAATGATTTAGTTGTTCATGGATGTTTTGGCTTAGGTAGGCTTAATTAAACATTGTATGCTTATGTGAAGGATTTGGCTTATGGCCATGGAATTGGTTAATGTTGTTATGGTTTAATGGTTTCGGATTATGTGATTAATTGAGGTTTCTTTGATTGTTTTCATTATTGGTTTTAGCTTGATGTTGGAAGGTTGTATGCTTGCGGTGTCATATGAGGGATTTGGCCATGTTTTTTTTTTTTTTTTGGTTAAGTTCATGAATGGCTTGATATCATTTGGGATGTGTTCATGGTTGTTTTAGGGCTTGATGTTTTGACTTTGTCATGTCATGTGGATTGTGTTCATGAATGGCTTAGTTTCATATGGTTTATGTTCATGTATATGATTGATATTGCATTCTAATTGTATTCACTTCATGAAATGTTTTATGTCACGATTTCAAGCATTCAAGAAAAGACATGTATATGGTTTTATGAGGACGTGGATCACGGCTAGACATATTCAAGAGGGGCAATAAGGAATGATCAATCCTTTATGAGGTTCATTAAATCGAACATGTCTAATGCTTTTATGGATTTTCGTGATGATAATTTTAAAAGGTTGTTAAATTTATATACATTCAGCGAGGTATGCCCGAAAAACAAAAAAAATGTATTTCAAGCATGAAAATGATAGTTTTAATTCATATATGGTTACATTTATCGAGCTTTAACTCACTACTTTGTCTCGTAGTGTAGGTGAGCAAAGCAAAGCTTGAGAATTGGTTTGATGCATTGAGGATGCTAACTCGTGAGTTATAAAATTTGCCAAATTATGTATTACAACTCTAGGTTTAAAGTTTGAAAGCTAAATCATTGCTAGATTTTAGATACTTTTGGGTATTGTTTAGATTCAACCATTTTGGATTGTATATGATGATATCTTGATTTAATTTGGTATGTTAATACATATATTTATTGGATTACGTAATTATCAAAACATTATGTCAATTTTTGATATATTGATTAATTAATCTCATTATGTATGCATTGATGTAATTATAAAAATGGTATTAAATTAGTTTAATATATGAATGGTTTTAGGCTTAGTGCAACTCGTTAGTTTTAACCTAAGAATGAAAATGAAATGGTATACAATGTTTATAAATGATTTAAATCATGTAATTGTACAAAAAATTTGTTAACCTTAAATGTCAAAATTAGGAAGCCTTAAACTTTAAATCGAACAAGGATTCCATTGAGCATTGTGATAAAGATCCAAAATAGAAGACACAACGCATTGTTTTATATTCTCGGGTGTGAGATAATACAATAGCACTCTCGGCTCTCTGTTGGGCTACGAATATTACATATGGATTGTTCAAAAAGATGGAATCGATTGCTACCCTTAGCTCGGTGGTGGAACAATTCTAGCTTTCATTCGGCCTTGAATTTTCAAACCTTTTTTGTATTGATAACGATTTTCTAAATTTCTTAGCATTCTTGCACCTTTCATTGGCATCATCAACATGGATTGTTCTAAAATAGTGAAAGAGTTGGCCAATCTTCCTTTTCTCTTTTAAGGCATGCATCCTATGCATTCGGCCCATTGATCAATTCTCAAATTGACACTCCTATGCATCATCATCATCATCATCATCATCATCATAGCATATCCGCTCTATAAAACACTACGGAATACGTGCATTTTTAGCTTTTAGTACGTAAAACAATTGAAACCCCACTTTCTTCAAACAAATGGCGAGATAAAAACTCTTGCATCTTGCCATTAAAAGGTTCATAAATATCTCAAAAATGAAAGAACATAGCCTTTCATTTTTTGTAAATCTAAAAAACAATTAATTGACACAAGAAAAGAGAATGGAACTCCAAGACAACCAATTGTCAAATTCATTGAATGGTATGGCAACAACGAGTTCCAATCCCATTAATATAATATAATTATCATTAATATCATAGCAAGTAATTAACAATGTACCCCCATCACTTCCTTGCGAAATAAAGGACTTTCTTTCGCCTTGGACAGAAGCGACCATTAGCCAACTCAAAGAACGGGCCACTTATCGAAGCTCAATGGTGACAACCGTGCAACCGGTTGTCTTCGTCCCTGCAGTTTCCATTAATCTTCACCACCAACACACCACCCCACCCCCCAAACACACAAATAAGACCCTATAATTCACGATCACTAGTTAAGTAATTAGAGAATTAGCATAATAGTTTTCGGATATTTCTATTAGATCAATCTACCCTTGTATAATGTTCGTCGATGACATATAATAGGAGATAGTTTTAGAACCAACGATTTCAAAGCATACTCTCTATTCACCCTTTCCTTGGGAGGAATTAAAACAAAACACTATAGTGGTTTTGTTGTCTTATGTCATAGGTAAGTTAAAACAATCCCAAAGTTTCTTCTTTTTTTCCCAAAAAAAAAAAAAAAAAAAAAATTGAAAAAAGAATATAATTTTTTTTTTTTTTTTTTGGTCCTCTTTCATAGTTCATAGTTCATAATAATAATATAGATAGCATTAAGTACACAATTTATTCCGAAAGACTAAATTGGCAACTACCAAATAATTTAGAGGGGCAACATGTCTTTTTTGTTAAAAAAAAAAACAAAGAATTGAATGACGAGTTAAGGATGTTTTTAATATGTTGTATAAAACAGAATGAACGAAATTAGACTAGATTAGACTATACAGCACTAGGTAATACATAGAATTGGATTGGAAAACTATATGTTCTTGTTGTGTTTGGTAGACAATAGGTAAAACTTTTTGTAAACAATCATTTTGCTCTCCAATTTTTTTTTTTTTTTTTTTTTTTGAACAATTTATTTTAGTGTTCTATTTTCATGGCATGTTAGTCCTTAATGAACTTTTTTGGTCCTCTAATTTTTGGAATATGCACTTTAGTCCCTAAATTAGGAAAGAAAACAATTTATCTCCTAACAAATCAGTTTAATAAAATATAAATAAACTTGGTTAAACCTTAATCGATCAAATAAAATAAATAAATAACAGATAATATAAAAAATTAAAAAATAACAATTTTATCCATGGTATTGGACTTTATTCCACCTCATGATGGGCAAACATTTTGCTTAATAGGTACTATCTAATCTTGTTTTGTCATGTGTAATCCAATCATATCCAACGTACCAACCACAACCTGAAAGTGCGAAATACCAAGTCTTTTCTAGCATCAACTTATTTGAATCTAGGACCATGAAATAAAACGTGTATTCAATTATACATTAAAAACTAAGGGTCGAATAGCCCTAGAATGAAAATAATAATAATCCCTTTCTAGATTACAACTGAAACTATGACATACAACATATTGAATAAAATATTTGCTTCTCATTCCAACGCCATCAAGCCAAAAAAAAAAAAAAAAAAAAAATCCCTCTACATAATCACCTCAAATTTCAGTTGTCTTTAAGTTGAATTCTCTAGTTGCTGAAATGAGAGCTCGGTCCATTGGCAGAGTGGCAATTTCTGCTGTAATCCACTCCCTAGTCGTGGCATTCTCTCAACCAACAATCTTGGTGGAAATAATTCTTGATCTCGTAAAAATTTAAAAGATCTTCTTTGGCTTTGCTTTTATAAAAGATCAGTCTCTTCTTGGTCTCCATCTGCATCCTCAACATCATTTTCTTCATCTTCTTCAGGTGCATCTGGATCCACCCCCTACAGCAAGAACCAATTAGTTCCTAAGTCGGTATTTCTCCCAAATCATCCCAGAACTCAACCCCTGCCCAAGTAGGTTCTCTGAGTACACTGCCTAGTAAAAAGACACTCGTGATAGACAGTGCAGAAACTGAATGAAAATGTTGCTGATAAGTCACAAACCTTCATCTGCTTTTCCAAGCGCTCTAGCCCTTTTTTTGCAGCTTCGTTCTGTGGGTTTATTCTGCGACCGAAGTATTAAATTGTGAGCATTAACAGCAAGGCAATGCAATAAAATGCTATGCATGTTGGCGATCAACAATAAAAGCACGCAGACATTCAGGTAAAATAGCTCAGATTCTAGATTAAAGAAATCAGAGCATATCTTTAAAATTCTACCTTAGTGCAGCCTGATAATGTGACAAAGCCTCTTGCAGCATATTAGTGGCAGCAAACACTTGAGCCAACTTGACATGAAGAGAGTCATCTGCCCAATCCTTAAGATATCGCTCCAGCAGAGACACAGCATCTCCATTTCGACCCTCAATGACATGAAGCTCAGCCAAAGCTAATGCTGCACCAAGGTAACCAGGTTCCAGCCTCAGCGCTGACTCATAGAACTTTTTTGCCTGTTGAATTTGATGTTAGATTGACTTCTTTAACCATAAATTTAGAAATGGGCACTCATGAGCTGATGAAAGGTGATCCTTTAACCAAAATTAAAGGAGAGTTAAAATGATCTGTAACAACTTTACCTTCTCTCTTCCCCCAGAGTTACTAGCATGTACATCCCCTACTAATTTTAGAGCCTTTGCAGACTGAGGCATGGCTTTCATTGCCTCCCTGGCAGCATGCAGAGCCTCTTTAATTTTGGAGAATGCTAAATAAGAATGAACCAAACCTGAAATTGTAATTGATTCAGTTACTTCAGGCATGTTTTCCTTGTTATTTTTCCATTTGGGGGACGTGTAAGCCAATCATAAAATATAACATGGAAGTTAGATATATAAATAATTGAAGTTCTGGGCTTATTTCTTTTCTCTTACAGATTTTACAGTTGTACCTTGATATGAACGGAGATCGGCTCTCAATTCTTGAGCTCCCCTGAAAGCAATTACAGCTGCCTCTGGCCGCTTTAGTGACAAGAGCAAAGTACCCTGATATCAGAGAAAAGAATCTAATGTTCATAGAGAGATATCAACCCACAACAATCTCAAAGAAGACTTTGATCTAAACAATATCCATTATATCAGGCTAAATTATCTGTATACCTTCATGATGTAACCCGGTATGTGCCTCTCATCAATTCTGATGCTCTGATTGCAAAGAGGAATCAATCACAGGTTCCGTGAGATTACACAGATGGAGAAAAGATTCCTATTACTACAAAAGAAATAGCTAACCTTCTCAGCATAAGACAGTGCTCCTCTCTCATCTTTCTTTTCCCACAGGACAGACAAAGCCACAAAAACTTCTGGCCTTGTAGGATCAATACTAAGCAAATCATGCACCAACTTGTTTAGCTTTGAAAAGTCGCCCTTTGTCTTTAGAAGCATCGCATACTCATCCATATAAGTTACAATGTATGGATCAATTGAACGAACCTGCAAATCCATGAACTTAACATGTTTGCTCATGTGAAGACTGTGCGCACTACCTCAATGTGGAAAACATAACTTCTAATACCTTCTCAAAATTCATTATGGCCTCATCATTCTTCCCAGTTATGGCTTCAACCTTAAGATATGGGTTACATATCAGTGAAACAGATACACAATTTAATAAATCTAGCCAGCTTGCACACATTATAGTATAGCATTTCTTACCTTTGCAATTTCAAGTAATATGTGTATGTTATGTGGAAAACGTTGCAGGAGTTCTCCAAAGAGCTCCAAACCACCTGCCAACACATGAAAAAGAGTGTAAGAGTAAAAACCTTACTGGATCAATGATCAATCAATAATAGCTAAAGCTGAGATGGCAAGCAATAGAAGGAAACAAATATGTATATGGGGAAATCTAGGAAAGGAAAGTAATTACGTACTTACTACAGTTGCTTCCCAAAATTTCTTTTCGTCATTCACATTAAAAATTTTGGGCATGGATTTCACTAAGATAATCAATTAACAGTTAAAATTCAGCTATTATTACCGACTTATCTATTTGTTTTATATCAGGCCAGAATACTAGCAACAAAAATCCCCTTCTGCAACTAGTTGTGTTGGCAGGCAGATATGCAAGCAATAGCATATAAACATACATAGATATGTTAGAAAATGATTATGTTACCTTTGTAATCATTAGAAGCAATACAACACTGGGCCTCTACATAGCGCTGCATACAAATAACAATTTGTAATAGAGTAAGTTGTGCATAAACAATGCTATAACAAAATGCAGAGCCGTTTAAAGGTAAATGATTAATAATATAAGTTAAAATGTCTTTAAGTAATTTTCTTTTTCCGTTCTTTTACGTAATCTATACTGCCAAGAATGCCACTGGACGAGGGTGGTCATTTGTTCCTCAAGGTTGGGTGATAGTCACCCATGGCATTGTGGTGATGGTGTGAAAAAAGCTCAAATAGTATAGAAATACAAGCTTTTTCTGCAAAGCACCAGAAAAGGCTTGTTTAGTGTCACCATAGAGTGAGCTCAGCACTCGTTCCATGGTGATTTGATTACTGTGCACAAAATGACAATCCTTGTGCAATATATAAGAAAAAAGAATGGTGTTTGCATGACGCATGGATGAAGACCAAGTTCTTGTTTTTTTTTTTCCCCTTGTTTTTTTTTTTTTTTCTTTTTCCCCTTGAATGATACTTTTGAATGCAGACTGAGATTTATGCCCTTTAAACAAACTTATTACAAAGAAGCTTTTTGTTTTCAAAAAAAAAATTACTGTGGGAAATGAAAACAAATGCTGATGGTGAAGAACCATAGAGCAGTATGCAGTTGACAATGGACCCAAATCTAATCCTTTTCATCATCTACTTACTTGAACCCAGCGAGTAGAGTCAGTATGATCAAGTGGAGCTCTCCCACTTCTATTTGAAGTCTGCAACCATAATAGAAGTGCCCCAAAGATATCAAACAATTCAAACCCTTTGGAAGGAAAAAATTAAAAAAATGCAGATCCATTTAAAATCTTGTTTTTCCATGAACTCAACAAAGCTGCAGAAGGTCAAATCATTGGCTATGAAACTGAGAGAATATATTATAGGCAGCAGAAACCACTAGCCTGCCGCTAGGTCATGCATTCATGCTTTTGAACAATCAAATCCTAGATAAGCCAAATATTCTACTACTAATAAGTGAAAACTATTTCCTCCCCAGGAATTACTTCTTATTCACTTGTAAGTGTGTTTGCATTGGCAGGAACAACATGACTATATATTTAAGTCAAACTACCAGTCAAATTATTCACTTAGATGACTTCTTGTTGCATGTATAATAACCTTGCATAAATATGACAAAGTAAAACTTCAGACCAGCTCAACTAAACCTTCCTGGACTTGTAAAAGCAAAAAATAAAATAAAATAAAATAAAAGCATTCATGAAGATAAAATGATTTTACAGGGATAGAAGTGAAACATGATTCCACATGTACTAGTGAAAATGTGAGCGTTTTCCATAACAAACCTGTGAAAAAAGTGAAATGATATCCTTGGCAGCAACTCCTAGTTCTGCCAAAGCTATGATAGCCTCAATGACATAAGGGCAATGCCTGCCAAAAACCGCACCCAAAAGAAATATATTTTCTACGAAATCTAATATAATAAGCTCTCTTCTATGAGCGAACGAAGAAAGAAATGCTAATTTGGCACGAATAGATGAACGAGCATGTACAGCAGTTTTAAAGCGCCGAAAATGTTGGCAATCAAGTGATAGCAATTAAAAGAGGTTAAAACATATTTGAACATTGAAAAAGAGGTGTGATCTCACCGGAGTATACAAAGTCACGATTGTTAATTAAATAATTCTGAGGCAACAAGATATGCTCTGAAAACCATTCAATCAAGTGGAACCATCAGAACAAGCACTGTTGATGTTTCAAAACTATCCAGATATGACATCAAGAACCAGCAGAAATCGTACCACAAAGTTTATATGCCAGAGGTAGCAAATATTTGTATTTGCGGAAAAATTTAAACTGTCTATCTATATTTGTTTATGAAGTAGGTGAACGTAATAAATTCGTATGTGCAACCAACTTGCTGGATGCAAGCTATCTTAGCTAGTACACCTCCTTGGTGCTGGACCCAGGACCAAAAATCAAATAGAAATGAGGAACTTAAACAAGGGGAAGGCTACTGCTAGTAGTCAGTCAATGGAACATCAAAAAAATGAGAAAAAAAGTTGCAATGCAACTTGACAGACCTTAAAGTCTCTTTGTAACAAGTGATAGCAAAGCGAGTATGTCTAGAACTTCTATAGAGCTTTGCCATCAATAGACTCATTTGCAAAGTTCTTGCTTTGCTTGGAATTCCTTCCATCTGCAAAACAAAAACCCTAATTGATTGAGAGGAAATGGATTCTCAATAAAAAACTAAACAAGAAAATTATAATAAGGAAAAAACCTCAACAAGGGCGGCTCTAGTTTCATTCAATGCAGAATGACAAGAAGCAATCTTGAACTTCACCTACCATTGAGATAAATAAAACAATAAAATTCAACACAAACCATACAATTCCACAAATACTAATTTCTCCGTATATGTGTGTATGTGTGTACATATATCTGTGAAAGAGAAGATTAAATCAATATACCTCATTTTCATTAATTGCTGAAATGTTAAAAGAATTCGGAGAAGAAGACCTGTTCGATAATGAACTCCTAGAAGTTGTCGAACTCTGTTTCGGAATTATCTTGTAGTAATGCAATGCTTGCTTATACGTATGCTACAGAAATAAAAAAATAGATAAATAAATAAATAAAAACGCGTAACAATTAAATTCCAGAATCTTTTTGCTCTGCAAAAAGATATAAACACTCACAATCGCTCTGCGAAACTCTCTCTCGCGAAACAATGCATCTCCAAGAAGAATCTAAAAAGAAAACAAAATAATGTCAAATTGGAAAATTAAAAATAATAATGTAAGTGAAAAATGAGAGGCACCTGATTTTCAGCTTTGAGCTGGGGGCTGGTCTCGAGACTAACAGTAGATGATGAAACTAGAAAGCAACCCTGTAAATGTAAATACAAATACAAAAAATCTGTTAGCGAGATGTTTTTCTTTTTACAAATTGAAAAAAAAAAAAATCAGGCTTTTAAAGTAGAGAAAGTGAAAATGAAATATTGTTACGAGAATTTGAGCGGAATTATAGAGTTCGTTATCTAGAAGAGCTGTAATTTGATCCTTCGGCACATCCATTTTTCTGCCAAAAATCAGAAACAGAGAGCTCTCTTTCTCTGAAACTACAGTAGGGAAGAGAGTTTGGGATTTTGGGGTTCTATTTTGAAAAACCAGAAATGTCTCGTACTCTTGCTGAAAAAAAACTCCAGCCCGCTCTCTTTTTAAAAGACACGTCGTTTCCTTCGTTTAGCAAATTTGGTCCGACCCAATGAGTGCCCCAACCCGTCCAGATAAAAATGATTCCGATTTTTCATCTGACCCGACAGGGTGGTTCGAGCTCAATGCAAAAAAGATGTACGTTTCAATGAAAATTGATATCACCAGACTAGTGGTCAAATCCACTTAGACCAATAAGATTATCTGAGGATACGAAAGAATATTTAAAAAATAGAGAGAGAAAATAGCAGGGCTCTCTCGATCCACCTCGTGATTGATTATCTTTTCTTGATCAATGCAATGATACTAGAATTAGTTATATATACTATCAGAGAATCTGATGAGGTCGTATTTTTGTATTTGAATAGATATTTTTTAATTTAAACTGATAATATAGTTGATGTAACTAGTCATATCTTAAATCAATAAAAATGATAAGTTTTTTATTTTAGAAATTAATTTTTTAATTTGAAAGTCAATTCTAAAATTGAAAATAAGTTACCTAAAAAGAAAATTAATTTCTTAGTTTAGGTTTAAGGGTAATTTAAAAATTTATTTACTAATATGGGCTTCCTAAAAATATCTAATCTAATTTATTTAGATAGTCTAAAATAATTGGTAATTAATTATGCGAAAAAAGTTTAGACCAATAAGCCTAATTTAAAAGCTTATAAGATATTTTGGTTGGAGGATAAACTTGATCCTTATTGGATAAGCATCGAGCTTTATAAGGATAAGATAAAAAAAGCTCACATGTATTGCAATCCCTAATCCTTGGAGGATTAAGAAGCAACAATCTAGAGTCTTTTTGGGCTTGTTGCCACCACTTCCTTGTCCTTGGAGGATAAGGAAGCCACTCCCCCTATAAATAGAAGAGAGAGGTGCGACAAAGAATGAATAAGTTTAAAGAGACACACGACATAAGAAATTAAATAGAGAAAATAGTTTTCTCTCCCCAAAAATGTGCCAACTCTCTCCCTTTATCGGGGTTATCGTATAATGTCCCGAACTAGATTTCTAAAGAGAAAAATTAAACAAATAAAAAAAAAGTGGAGCTAGCACTCTACAACTTCGATTGCTTCTTATATGGGTGCTTGAACTACGTGAATTATCGATAGAGGTTGAATACTTGGACGGCTCTTTTTTGTAAAAGTTAAATTCTACACTACAAGAGGTAATCCTTATATTTTAATTCATGTATGTATGATTAATTGATTCAATGGTTTGATCTTGAGAGCCTTAGAATGAGGAAAAAATTTTATTTTATTATGCACCTCCATAGGATGGACGATCCTTTAATTGATATTAGAGTCTCCGTTGAATCTTTAATTGTATACTTTATTAATTGTGATTAACTCTATGAATTATCAATTCTTGATTGTAAGTCTTATGTTTTAATATTTTACATTTGCTTTAAAACTAAAATTTAGGCTTTAAAAGAGTAGGGCACACAAGGTCAATGTTGGACGTTGGTGCTCGTGTGCGTAGCAAAGAGGTTGGTTGGTGATGCACCAAACGTGCGACAAGCCTAGCTACTTGTGCACTCGGGTACACGACAAATCGTGCATGCTTTTATGTATGCTAGGCCTTCCGGCTAAAGTTAGTCATATGCAAGGCATGTAATGTGCCAAGCATGCCAAACCTCTTTAACAAGACAGTCACACATTAGGCGTGTGACATGGAAGGCATGTGTTAGGTTTGTACTGTGCCTAAAACCGGACTAAGACACGCCTAGCACATGAGAAATGCATGCCGAGCACATGCATGGGCAAGATCCGTAGTAGGCTAGGCACAAGTGCACTAGGCAAGTAAGCCGAGCACGCGCGTGTACTCGGGTAACGGGCCAAGCACACGTGAGTGTGCCAAGCCATTAGCCATCAATAAGCCAAGCACACGAGAGTGTACCAAGCTTCGAGGCTAGCACCATGCCGTGCACGTACGAGCATGCTAGGTCGGTGGCTAGGGCATGGCGACCCATAGGCCTTCGAGGAATAAAAGCTCTTAGGCCCAAGTGGGTACAAGGTCCAAAAGTCTTAAAATTAAAATTTTGAGAAATTTTGATAATTTTATGAAGTGACCAAAATATAGATTTATAATTACAATTAAAATGAAATATGTTTTAGTAGTATGCCTAGTTATGGGAATGAATGTTTATAATTTTTTGTTAAATAGGACTTACGTGTCCTACCTTCTCTATCATCTTATTGTATTTTTCTTCTTATCTATTCTCTTCAAATATAACTCGATGTTTCTTATTCAAATAAATATAAAAATAGATGATAGGATAGTAGAAAAGATGCAAGGAGAAGAAGCCAAGAAGTGTAAAAAATCTTGAAGAATTTGTAATAATTTTTCACCTAGGTATTTGACTTACTAATCTCCTTATGACTTGAAGGGGCTAGTAGTAGAGATCCATTACCATTCACCAGTCTTTAAGCCATGCATGAGATGCATGTTTTTATTTTTTTCATTGTTAGTATGTATGATAAGATTACTATGATTGATTAAAAGTATACGTGCTAGGATGAGACCTACCATATTGTATATATGCTAGGATGAGACCTACCATATTAAACCTTCAAAATTAAATATCAAGTTAATTATTTTTCGATGTTATGAGGAGAGAACTCTCTTGGTCAACATAACTCAAGGTCACTTCTTCTTCGAGAGAATTAAATCATAGGACATGCGATGTCCTCGAACGTTTGGGTCTAACTTGAAATAAGTTATTGCGTTTGTTGAGATAACTCAAGGTCTAATAAACTTGTAAATAAAGATTGGTATTCACATAAGATATGATATGACATGAAGTTTTCATGCCATGAGATTAAGAATTGCATTGGATGTAATTGGTAAGGAGTTTCCTACCTAATCATTCATGTATGACTTGTTAAGATAATTCAAGATTAATGCATATTAGAGAATGGGATCCTAAACCCACTAAGGAAAATGAATCAAAAAGCTTTCTTAAGTCCTCTATTAAAGATTATAGAACTTGAAAAAAATAATGAGAGTGAATATAGATTTTACTTCTTTAATTCATGCTTTATTTTATTTTATATAATTTAATTAATCAAACTATATATTTTTTTATCATGTCAAATTTGTTGCACAGTATGACCGCCAATATATCGACATGATCAATGGAAGTAATGCCTTGAGTGGCATAAACTTCCTTGACTAGAAAATGAACATAAAGAATGTCCTTCAACATGGAAAAATACTCTATACAACAAACGATAAAGAGTACCATGAAGGGGTGCAAAAGAATAGTTTTAATAAGCACCTTAAGTATTTATGTTGTTGAAGTAAAATTTTCTACTTCTAATCCCACATCATGGGTATTTGATACTAGATGTGAGGCATGTATTTGCATGAATTTGAAAAGACTAAAAGATGCAAGAAAAACTACTTTAGGTGAGGTTGACTTGTATGTGGGAAATGGTTCAAGAGTTGTACCATTAGCGGTCGACATCTATGAGTTAGCACTACCATCCGGACTTGTGCTTACACTCAAAAACTATTATTATATTCCTAGTATAACTAAAAATATCATTTTTGTTTCTTATTTAGACCAAGATGGTTTTTTATTTTTATTTAACAACAAAGGTTGTTCCTTTTATAAAGATGATTTTTTTTTTTTTATGAAAATGCCGATATAAATAATGATTTATATGTTTTCAACATAAACACACTTGTATATAATATAAATGCAAAAAGACTATAAAAAAATGATCTAAATATAACTTATCTATAGCATTGTCGATTTGGCCATATAAATGAGAATCTCATATCCAAGCTATATAAAAATAGATATCTAGAATCATTTGATTATGAATCTTATGACGTCTATAAATCTTATCTCGCTTGACAAAATGATAAAGTCCTCTTTTAGTGGAAAAGGTGAAAGACCCGCTAATTTGTTAGGCTTCATACACAAATGAATGTAGGCCAAAGTCCACCTAAACAAGAAGAGGATATGATTATTTCATAACCTTTACCAATGATAGATCATGTTTTGATTATGTATATTTGATAAGACATAAATCTAAAGCATTTGAAAAGTTCAAAGAGTTTAGGTTTGAAGTCAAGAAACAAATAGGTAAAAGTATTAAGGCACTTCAATCGGATCGAGATAGAGAGTACTTAAGCATTGAATTTTTAGATCATTTAAAAAGGATTAAGATTCTTTCATAATGGACCCCACTTGGAACACCATAAATGAATGGTGTGTCCAAAAGGAGGAACAAGATGCTATTAGACATGATTCAGTTCATGATGAGCCAAATTGATATCCCTATTTGATTTTGGGGATATGCAATACTATGACATTTATTTTGAATAAGGTTTCAATAAATTCTGTTGATCGACTCCATATGAGATATGGAAAGGAAAGAAAGCAAATTTTTCTTTTTTTAAGATTTGGGGTCGTGAACATATATCAAGCGTTTGGACGGAGACAAGCTAGAGCCCAAATCAACAAAGTACAAATTTATGAGATATCCAAAAGAAACAAATGGATATTATTTTTACCAACCACAAGAACAAAAGGTATTCATGGCTAGACATGTTGTATTTCTTGAGAAGGAATTTATATATGCTAGAAACAATGAAAGAAAAGTTGAAGAGATTCAAGAAGACTCACAAATTAACACTTTACTAGGGGAACCCCAAGTAGATAAGTTATAAAAAGCTATAACTATCCCATAAATAGATACATAAAAACTTCATAGGTCTAAGAAGATTCATCAAGAGCTAGAAAGATATGGTCTTTTTATCTTTACATATGGAGATGCGACTCGTTATACGAGATGACAAACCTAATACATAAAGAGGCAATATTAGACATTGAATTGCAAAAA